TAAAAATCTCCTTTTAATTTCAAAGTGAAAAATCAATTCTACAAAATAATGACTTAACTAATTCTCAGCATGACTGAAGCAGTGCCTGTATGCTAACACAGCCCCAATTAATCTGTCATTCATTCAGCTCCATCCTACCAAGATACTCAGATACTTGAACTTTTTCGCTTGAGGCAAAGACTGACCCAAAACCTGGAGGTAGCAGTTCACATTTTTTTCAGTTGAATACATTGGCCTAAGACCTTGAGGAACTGATTTTTATATACATGTACATTTCATGACAAATTGGAGGAATTATATCAAATTTGTAAGTATATTTTATGTACCAAAAGATTTTGAGTCTCGGAAGAGTAAATCTACTGTTAAAGAATGTTCCTCTCAAGATTTATTAGTACATTAAATATTGAAAGAATATTATGTTAGCCCTTACATTAGACACTCTTTTATTCAGAAGAAACAAGTTGACCTTCTTGTCATACTATGTGCCTTGCATCTTGTGTATAGTCAAGCAGCTTCGGAAAGAGCACTGAAAGCAATGAATTGTGTTTACTATACAACATAATCCACTGAAGGTCAACAGAGCCTAAAACAGAGGGTGAAATGGTGCATAGCAAATGAAGGAAACGTCGATGGGAAATATAAGAGCTGGCTGTCGTTTACAAGACTAGATTCTTCTGTCACTGCCGTTCCCTGTCCTTGTTAGGATGGCCTAGTTTCATCGCAGAGGCTTTGCCCACCTCCTCACACTTCTTTTTTTCTTCTTCGTCTTTCCCTCCCAGAGGAAAATAAGTGTCTCTCTTAGACCTCAGGATCTCTACATAAAGCATTTGTCTGGCTTCTCATCTTCCCCTGGGCTCAATTAGAAACATTTTTCTGCATTTGAGATGATCACTTTCTGTGCGTTGCAGACAACTGTAATCTCTAAAGTCTTAATTTTAGAGCTAAACTTCCTAAGGACATCTTTATCTACTGTGCATAGTGATTACATACATTTATAACAAAATACACATAAAACTACTTCTCTTCTGTAGTTCAATGATATGGATGTAAGTCAAAATAATGTTAAGAGGACAGTATAAATCCACTAAATGTGATGTTCTAGTGAAAAGCAGAATTATTTCATTTATACCTAATTATTAAAAACATATATGCAAATAAGCTAACCCTTTTGCCTATTCTTTTCTATTTCTAATTTATGTTGTCGCTTTTAATTGTAAATGTAAAACTGTACACATTTTTCTATGTTGTCGCTGACTAAAATAGTCAAAGAATCAATCAGCATTTTAGATGGAAGTTTTGGAACTGAAACTTTGCAATAGTAAGTATCAATACTATCAGTGCAAAAAAAAAAATGGCACAAGAAAAGAAGTGTTTGACTTTGAACATACACATGACGCACAGAAAATTTAACTGTATTTCTAATAATCAGCCCCTTCTGAGTTTTTCTACATAAATGAGAAACAATTGTAAACACAGAATCCTCTATGGCTGTAATCATTGAGCTGGCCAATATTTCTCAAAAAATAAAATCCATTTTCATACCAAATCTGATTTCTGAGTTTCTCCCTTACAAAAAAAAAAAGAAGAAAAAAAAGAAAAAAATACTAAATATTTTCAAAAACATGCTTTTATTTCAGCCATTCCTTTCGGCTGTAGATCTGAATTGAAAGTTCAAATAAATACCATCTGGAAAACGTGCTTGTAAAATGAGATGGAAGTTCCTGGGCGGGATGCCATCAGTTTGAACCTTGGGAACAAAAGGAGTGCATTGAAACAAAAATCAGATTTTCAAAATATTCAATCTTTATAAACAGAAAATTGCATTAATTATTAAAATCAATTTAATGTCCTCCCATATGTGATCATGTGTGATAAACACTGAAAGTTGTGAAAAGATCAACAATAACAAAAAAAAAAAAAAGGGGAAGGATTAAAATATACAGAAGAGTTACTGATTAACTTTGTTATTTATTTAAACTCTTTGCAGACTTAAAGGGAAATGGATAAATGGGCATTCATCGTTATTTATTTTGACTGTTTTCTTATTCTGAGCATATGATACAAGAAGAAAAACAATAGATGTACTTTATTATGAAGCTTTTTAAAGGCTGGTAACTTTTGTTAAAACTATGTACAGTTGGTTAGAGCTTTAATCAGCATATAACATGGGCAATCACTTATTGACTACGTAAAATTAGCTTTCTTAGCACGTAGGTTGCAGTTCCAGCATGGCCAAGATGGTGATTAAAATGTTGAGGTTATGTGCCAAATTCACTTTAGCTGTTCTGAGACTTGAGGTGAACTTTTCAGCGGTCATGTTGCAAACTTTTGAAGGCATTTCCAGAAAACAAACCATTTCCAGATGATTTTCACATTGTAACATGTAAAGCAGTCATATAGCTGCAATCTTAACAGCTGTAAATGTTTGCAGTGGGCTCCTTAGATTAAATGTCCTTTTTTTTTCCAGCAACCAAATTAGGATTTTGTGCCGAAGTGTGAGTGGAATAGAAATGGTAAAACACAACATTTTCAGAATCAGAATTATTTGTTGATTTGCACAGCAACCGTTAAAAACATTTGTGTTTAGGAAAAAAAAATACAACAAAACAAACAAACAAACAAAAAAAACAACAACATTATATCCTTTTATGGTGATGTAGGTATCAGATTAACTGGTTTGATAAGTCTATATGCATCAAACATGCCTTGATGAGCTTGTACAAGCAGAATGGAATAATGTAAAAGTCTGAGTAAGTGAGGGGTTTAGATTAATGGGGAAATATACAAAAAAAATGCTAGTCATAAGTTAACATTAAGTTAGCACTGCTGAAAAGTGCATCTGTGCAGAATTTTGCCTTCACACACTTACTTAGCTGTCAGAGCCCTACCCCTTTGATTGTGCAATAACAGCAGGATATTCATGAGACACTGTTTCCTAGCAACATAGTGTATGCACTGTGTATAAGCTACAGTAGCATGTCTTCTGGGATCAGTCACCACTAAGACAAAAGATGAATGAAACGTCGGCCGACTGTTTTTAAGTGGGCTGAGGACTTTCAAAGCTTCCAAAAAATGTTCTTTTTTTGTTTAACATCACAAAAAAAATGTGGACACATACATTTTTCAGCTTCTCCTTTCAGCATTAAATTGGCCAACTGTGTCTCTAACGCAGCCTCCAGATCTCTGCTTTTTACAGCAAAGCAGCCCCTGTTTGTCGTAGTATACAATGGCATCAGAACACAGCTGAGAGAGCCCACTCACAGGAGCCCAGAGAGAAAACACCACCGCCACGCTTCTCTCAATCCCGCTGTAAATTGATGCTCGATTCCAGACAAATGCACTCCTGCGTTCATTCTGTCACCTGAGGGTACTTGTATTGTTCTGTGTTCAGGTGCTTATGAGAAAAGGTCTGTGCCTAGTGGATAAACATTTCATCTGCTCAACCACTTATATTTGCACAAGGACTGCCTCAGCATCGGTACTCCAGCTTACTTCCAGAGCAGTCAGATACCGCTTAAATGATCAATAGAATCAATTGGCTTTCATGACTCAAGCCAAATGAAGTGACCATTTGTGGGTTTTTATTCAACACGAGGGATGACATTCACAAATTTATAGAAATGTTAGAAGTTGCACCTCAAACCACTTTTGTGTTTGTATGTACTTCCTGAAAACAGATTTTTTTCTACCTTTATAGTGAAACAATTAGGTGTGAGAAAACCTTTTTTATTCTAGTTTGCTGTAATACTTTATTCAGTTCCTCAGATAAACTATTCTCCCTCAGAAGAATAATTTGTATCCATTAATCTGCACAAAAAAACAGCTGGGCAGTTTGCACTGACCCCTGCAGTTGACATGTCATTATGGATGTCTTGAGTTGTTTCAACACAGAACATTTGCTTAAAAAAAAAAAAAAAAAAAAAAAAATTACACATGTTCTAAAATTTAAATTAGTTGCCTTCCAGACTCAGACAGGCTCATCGAAGCACAGAAGCACCAGCTGTTAGATACTCAGCTGTCAATTCCACATTTACAAGAAAACCCCTTGCATTTCGAGCCGGAAATCACAGAGCTCAGAAATTATCTGTGTTATATGTTTAGTTCTTTGCATAGAATAAATAATACAAATATAGAATAAAAAACAAACAAGAACAAATTTTATTTGATGTTTCTAATTTCTCTTTAAAATGTACTTTGAACTTAAATGCAGAGATATAACTAATTATTCAGGTGTAAAGCCTAATGGAGTCAGACTCCAACCTGCTTTTATCTGATCACAGAATTGGAAATCCACTTAAAACAAAGAACAGGAGTAAGGTTGGGTGTTTCAATTTCTTCAGTTTTGACCAATATGTCTACTCTGATGTTCATGGGCTTGTACCATCACATTCCTCTAACCAGTTGTGTCACTAGAACATCCTACTTTATATTACAGTCGTTCAGCCATTGTGTGTCTTACTTTTTTCACATGATCAGTGCTTGACTCGGAGGATTATTTGCACTACAGTAACGTAGCTCAGGACTTCGTCTGCCACACCACTCAAGCTTTAGAAGTCTGTCTGCACTTCCTTTGAGTTGGTGCTGCAGACATTGTGATTGAAACTGAAGTTAAATACTGATGTACAATAAGATGGCTTGTGTAGAAAAAGGCTTTATCTTTCATTTGGCTCAGCCACAGTGGAAAGCAGTTGATTTGCTTGTGCAGCTTCCTATCCAAAGAAGACATGCCGAAGGAATAATTTGAGAGAACAGACACTGATTTATTTAACATTGCAATGTTTGGACATCAACATTTTGTGTTTGACAGAGGTCATGTAAAATGTACTTTGGACATGCATTTAAGGATATGGAAAATCCTAAAATATTTTCCTATCTGCTGAGTTTTTTACTTTATCCTTGGTGGTTCTTGTGTTCGCTTCCTGTTTGAATTATCTGATGTAGTCGTCGCAAGAACTGTGTTGTGTTCGCACCCTTGAGATTTGGGTTGGTTTTTTTCCCCCCCCTTAAATGCAAGATTCATATTATTTCATAATCCGAGAGTAAAATGTTTTTTTTCTGAATCAAGATATTATTTGGAAGTTGGAAGAGATCCAACTTCTTTACCAGTTACTGTAGCTTCCACAGAGCTCACTTACATTTCCTGCATCTCTTTTTGGGGTTGCCAATGGACACATTCCTGTTTGAAAATTACTTTTTATGCCAAGAAAAAGCTATTGTGTGAACATAACTATAGATATTGAAATCCGGACAGATCAATCACGCATGTTAAGTCATCATTCACTTAGAAATGCACGCACCTGGTTTTGACATTATCTTAAAGGGCTCTTTCTGTAAAAGGTCAAGTTTGATTTATTCATGTTTCAGACTTTCCTTGTGTGTTTTCTGACACTAAAATATAAGTTTTATTTTAAACTGACTAATGTTTTGACTTTATCAGGACAGATGATCTAGATCTATATGTTTTATGCAGAATAGATTGGTGTTAAATTTGTTAAAACACATTGTTCAAAACATGCAGAATACAGGAGTCGTGATGGTGTATTATGCAAAACCCTGTAATCTCATGAGGTTACCCTCCACTGTCTCTCCATTGTGTTGTGGGAGGATAATGTACACTCCCCCATGTATATTGTTGTAATTGTGCACTTTGGACATGCATTTAACACACTTGCTATGTAACAACTGTTATTTTCAATCCTTTTGTAAGGAAAGGCAGGAAGATGATGACGCCGGCAAGCATGCTGCCTTCAAAGACCTCAGATTTAAGCACGGCTAAGCCTTGATTTAAAATAATTTCATGTTTCCTTCCTCTGAGTCACCATTTTCTAGTGCCTTTATCCGAGCTCCTGCTATAAAATATATTTTTCAGGCAATTGCTGACATTGTTTTCCTTTTTTTTCCTTGCAAAATGAAGAGATTTATTTCACCCAACTGATCAAATAAACAGAAACACAAACCAGTTTTTTCATAGACAAAATCCTAAAATTGGACGCAGATGTTGTAAAACATTTTTAATAGAAATAATAAATTTTGTATAAAAAAAACTAAACATGCTTCACACACTTCTTAAGTTTTCTTGAGGTTTTACAAATACATAGTCATATAGCCAGGCACTGCATCTTTTTGTAAATTTTCCTCAATTTTAGGATATGTCAGGACATAAAGCAGACATCATCAATCTATTTAATAACATACATTAACTTGCCATTTAATTTGGTCAGCACTCACATTTTATTCTGCAACACAAATGGTGTTGAAAGTAATAAAGAGGGAGGCATGAGAAGCAGCACTGAACTCACAACACAAATGACCCCACAACATTTTCCCCAAGACATCAGAGGGCTTTTATACTGCACAAAGCCAAATATTAATGTATTCAGCGAGCTGGGGGTGGATTGATAGAGATATAGCATATCTTTTGCAATTTGATTTTCATTTGTTGAAAAGCTTTACAACTTCCTTACCCCTCCCCCTTATCATGAGTGCCAGAAGAGGACATGTACAGTAATGAATTTTCTCTCTAGCCGGCCCATTATGGATATCATCCTCAGGGCAAGCTGTACGATCTCCTCAAGGGCGCACTTCATCTTAATTCCCTTGCTAATGGATCTGTACAGCTACGCTTCAGCCTTACGTTTTCTCATGTGACCGGGAGGGTAACTGATGGCAGTGATGGAAGGGTCATCCTGGATGACGGCTCACAGTGAGATCCCCACGGCTAAAACACCAACCACGGTCCACCGTTTCAAAGTACATACAGGTATGAGGAGGGCAGTGGCAGCCTTTTAGGCTAGCTGTTAATACAAATCATGATCTCACTTAAGCACAGATAAACAATCACTCACTAGACCTTTTCACCAATTGAGAACAGATTTTTGAACGCACAGTAGGCTCGTGCCTAAACAATTTTAACAACGCTGCAACAAAGTTTAAAAGCATTCCAAAGATATTGTATTTTTTTCTTCTCCTTCATTTTTTCCTTAGTTTATTTGGTAAACAACACAATACAGGATGTTGAAACTGGCATGCTCAAAAACGGCAAATATCCTCTTATATAAGCGTGGTCCTTCTTAACTCAGTTGGACCCTGAAAGAGGACAGAAAAACACATGTAGTCTGGTACAGATCTGCTGCATTGTTGAGATGATCCCCGTTCCCAGTCATCTGAGTCATAAGACTGGAATGTATTATGAATAAAAACAAACAGAAGCCTGTTTTAGAAGTCCATGGATCATGTCTTCATGCCTTTTTGGTGTTGATTAATCCCTTCTGATGCCTTTAAAGTACTTGAAGATAACACTAAGTACATTTGGATTCAGTTCCAGTCAGCAGTGTGTAAGATGACAGGAGTCTCTGAAAGATGGCATAACTGAAATGTAAACACTAAAGAAAAACTCCATCTTTCAGTCTCCAGGCCTCTGTCCTGTTAATATTTTTCTTCTTTTCACGGCGTGTGTGTACTCTTGGTTGACAGAAGATGGAACCTTAAAATTGTACAGTTATCTGTCCCCTTCGTCTCTTTTGTCCATCTCCGCCCCTCTTTGTGGATTCTCCTCAGCGTGTCATGTCTTTGGGCAATGCTTGTGTGATCTCCCACTACACAATGACACTTCTTTTTTTTTCAGCTGTGAAATTCCACTGCGTGTATTTTTTTTCTCCGCCGGGGTGGAAATCTTGAATTGAGATAAGAACCTTTGTCCCTTAGATTGCATGGTTGCTGTAGCTGATGTAGGTTTGCTTTGTGGAGAAGGCTGAAAGAGAAGAAATAAAAGAGGGAACTGAGACTCAAATTCAGAGAAAGAGGAATATCTACCATGTGAAGGTTTTTCTTTCTGCTGTTTTTCTGATGTAACAACTATTACATGAAATGTCAAAAAAATGGATAAAAATAAAAGCTAAATAGTTTTCAGCCACCACACGACGGTAATGAAATAATATCAGTAATTCCTAATATTTCTCTTCTGTTTGTTGTTTTTTTTATTTTTTGCGGTACTGCACACTTGCATTGCCTACAGCGACCTCGCCACCTTCTTTTCTTGCAGCTGTCAAAAGTCAGCTATCCAGTTGTGTGCCCATACCGTGTTAGCTGATTCACTGAGGTGGAGCAGATAAATCCTGACATATTGCAACCAGATCCCGGCTGTTGTGGGAGCTGCCCTAGACAGGAATTTTTCAATTTCATCCACACCAGCGTTGACAATGACAAATGGTTCTTATTGAAATAGCCAAGCACTGTACAGCCTCTGGAAACTGAAATCCCATCTGGATAAATTGTATCCAGCTATCAATTCTATGTCTTTTGCCTTCGCACCACTTATTGCAACAAAAGGCCCAATTAAACCCTAGCAGAACCTTGAATCTTGAACAGAAATAATGGTGGTGTGTCTGTTTACATGTACACTTTCTACTGTAAACTGAGCATTGTGCTTTTGTTACCGTGCTGCATTGTCATACATTTTTTATACATTTAAGTTTTTTCAGGTAAAAAAACAAACAGCGTCAGCTCTTTTTCTGTATGCACAAGAAAACACTTCCATTCTTGGTGTTAATATAATAGACGGGGGACTGAAGCTTTAAAATGTGCAACAAAAGCCTTGATTCCATCTTCAGGCCAGGTTCAGACCAGACTGAGTGAATTGATTTCTGTTGACAGAGAAAACTGATTAAAATTGCTTCCTGCCCAAGGCAAGCAGAAGAAGAGTGCTTTGAACGCAACATAAGTATTTTTGCTCCTTCAGTTTTCATTATGTACCTATCTTGAATAAATCCTGGTTGTGTCATTGATACCGTAGTACACTTTCATTGGTATTAGGAATAGTCAGAGGACATCTTGCTACTTGTTAAAGTCTTTGACTGCTTCTTAAAAGAGATTTTTCCACAACTGCAGATCCAGGGCTAAGCAGAGCTTGTGGCAGAGCCACTTCTTTCCTCAGTTGGTTTTCCACAGAAGGACTGCTCTCTATCACTGAAATATCTTTTTCAATAAATGTTTGATCTGGTCTATTGTTGTCTAACTTTCTGTAAGAAAATACCATTTTAATTCACCAACTACATTTACCTCACATTTCCATTTTTTAATAATAAGCTTATTTTTTTCAGGATGTTTTAAACAACAGGCTGGACTTGGGAGTGCTTTGCACTAATCTCCGATCGGTAGCAGGAGCATTACAAATGGCAGTTAATTTCTGTTTTGTATGTATATTTGAAGCAGGTAACTCTTGAACTATTCTGTCTCATGAGAACCAAATAAGAGTAAACCAAAGAACATAATGTGTTACAAGGGAAAAAAATGTTTAAATTACCAGGTGCTATTAAAAAACCACAAATAGGTGCAATACCTCCGATTAAAAAAAAAAAAGTTTTTGAGCTCATCTCCCTGTCAGTTCTTAACATGGTCGAGAATGTTAGCTTGTTTGTTTTGGATTACTGATAAAAATGCATACTTGATAAAAATGGTAAAGAAACTAAGTTAAGCACTAAACTTTTTATCTAAATTAACATATAGAGAAGCTTCTCCTTTTTGCCATTTGACTAAAAGTGTAAACCAAGGCGACCTTGCTGCTGTGTTCACAGATATTCCGAATTTGTGCTCGTCTCAACTCCTTTGAGACATGTTTGGGAACTTGGAAGGAAGCTGTGCATGTGGGAAAATTACTAAAATTTGTTACCAAAGAACAATAATTACATTGCTGATTAATGGTTTTGTTTGCTCTTCAAAAACTAAGTTTAATGGCAATTTAATGGGAATAGGCTAATAGATTTTTAGATTTTACATTCAGTCTTGTTTTAATTTTTGAAGAAAAAAATAAAAATGTAGTTTTTGGTTGTTACTATGCTCTATATGCCTAACTATTTTAGTGTGGCAGCATTTGTAATGCAACCATTGAGGACTTCATTAAAAAAAACGAGGCTTGTGCAAGATAAACTGTCCCGCTTGGAAAGTGGACAAGAGGAACCGGCAGCAGCACTCAAAGACAGCAATTGATTGTAAAACAAGAGCAGCCATTAGTTTGATAAAAATGGTAAAGAAACTGAATTAAGCACTAAATGTTTCAGGAAATCTCATCCAAAAAAGATTAAGTGTTTTTTTTTTTTTTGTTGTTTTTTTTGTTTTTTTTTGCAACCAGTCAACAGCAGGATTTACACGCACAGACAAGACTCAAAAATAATTATTTAGAAGAATAATAAGAAGGTGAGAAATATAAATGAAGTAACTGCACTGAGTTAGCCTGGAATTTTGTTTTGAAAAGAGTTACATGCAGGGACTCCTTTCAAATTTAATGCATAGTGTTGACGGTGATGCTGCACAATACCCGCCATCATCCTAAACTGCCTCATTGCTTTTTTTAAATTATAAGGTGCAGGGTGAGGCCATATATCATGATTTATAAATAGGCCGGGTTAGCTTTTTGGAAGATGTTTGTGATTTAAAAAGGCTTATTAAAGCCATCCCTCATTTTACTAACTGAAAACATTATTCAGTTACTAACATTATTCAGTTACTAACATGTACAAAAATAGTAGATTTAATGATAGACTTGTGTTGTTTGTCTAAACATCTAAATGTGTAGTTTAGCAATGTGCTCTGTACACACTGAACATTTACAATTAGACACTAAGTGGATGCAACAACAAAATTAAATATTTTGGGGAAAAAAATTACTCGTGTGGAGGCGAAACAAATTAATTGTTACAAAATGGGAAAAACAATTGTTTCCCATCACTCATGAGGTAGGTGGCAGAAAGCAACTGAAAGATGAGACTGGGTAGGGGTGCAAACAGGACTGTTGTATTTAACTGGTAATCAATCAGCATCATGTTAATAGAGGGAATAATTCATTATTCAGGCATGAACATAAACAGTATAAACAGAGATGTATGAAAAGTTGCATTTTGGAAGTGAAACGTTAAATGGGATAAGATGTAGTTTAGTAAGACGGTAAAGGATGTGAGATGTACAGACATCAGAAAACATCAGATTTCTTATTGATAGTATAGCAATAGCAAAACACACCTTAAACTCCCAAAGTTATTTCTTAACACCAATACCCTCTTGGCCTCTGCATCAAAACAGCAAGAGTGACACATTTACTGGATTCAGTGAGGTTTCAAGTATCTTGCTACTCAATTTGTTAAAAGTATTTTTTTTTTCTTTCTGATTTATATCGTAGCATAAATTGAGTTTGATTTGCATACAAAAGGAAAGAACAATTCTGGAAAACAAACCATTGTGGGTCTTCAGTGAAAGGGTATCTGATTTGCATTCGGGTTCTTACATTGTGTTTCCAGGCTTTCGCATAGTTCAGTCTTGGCCTCTCCGTTGGGTCTGAGTCCAGCCTTGGGGTTGAACTTGTTGGACATGGTGGCGGCGGTAACCACAGCCTTCAGGCTGCGAGTGCGCTTTGGCACATTCTGCTCTGGGTGTAAAAGAATCACATAGACCTTGGGCATGTAGAGCAACCCGAGGGACACTGAAGCACTCAGGCTCACAGAGATGGTTAGTGTGGTTGTTTGGATGTACATCTGCGGAAGACAAACACCAGAAAAACAGCTGAAAGAAACAGGTCTTTCTAAATAACCACCATAAAGAACAAGTGACATCTGCTTTAAGTTATTAATTAGAGTGGAAGCATCCAATGAGCCACGGGTAAGCCAGGCTGCTATTTGAGTAGTTCCTGTTTTCTTCTTTGTCCAGTTGAAAATTCTTTAATACAACCAACGTGATGAAACCTGCTTTAAATCAGCATCTGTTCTTTTATGAAGTCTGTGCTGAGCAAGTCAAGGCCAGCATATTTGCTAAATTTCCTGCAATGATAGTTTTAATATGACCGTCACGTAAAGCTAGAAACAGATTTCATAACTTCAAGTGAATTGGACACTGCTATTATTCATAACAAGCAGACTCATAAAAAGAAACAAGCTCATGAAAATTTTACGCATGGTCAAATCCTGCGAACCAGGAGGGAGGGTAACTGAATATCAGCCTCGCTCATTCCATTTTAATCGTCTGCAAAGCTGCAGCAAATTAATGAGTCATGTTAATGGAAGATTCGAGGAAGAGGAAAAGATTGTCATTTCTATACATCAGCTACACCATGAGGAATTGATTCAGTTTTGGAGTAATTCACTTTTTAACTTATGAGTTCCAACTGTTTATTGACTGTTCATGACAGAAACCTAAGTCACCATTGAGCCATTAAAAACACATGTTTTACCTCAGGAAAGGTGCATTTTAGCCTCTACAGACTTGTAAGACTCTGGACATCAGGACTGACAACAAAATAAAACTTTATGCAACATAACCCTGGACATTATGGATCGATGGATAAATAATAAAGTCATATAAAAAAATCTCACGACTGGTCAGGTAGATAGGCACCCTTAAAGGAATAGCTTATATAATTTATGAAAAAAGGTATTTATTTTTTAATATATTTCTGAATAAGGTGAAACAACTTTGGAAAAAGCAGATGAACTCATGGCTTTCAGTCAAAGCAGATTTCTGCAAACTACTCCAGTCAAACTTTTTATTCAAACAATATTTTAGAAACCCTTGAACCAGTGTTGTGGTACTCGAAGTTGGTCTTGGTCTTAAGACCGGTCTTAAGACCA